CTCCAGCTCTGCCAGTGCCGGCTGAGGCCCAGTCCTGCAGCACCGACTCCAACGGTGAGAGCGCCCGCCCCCCCCCCCCCGCGTCTCCCCCCCCCCCCGCTCGCTTTGTGGCACCAGCTCACTGCGCTCATCCAAGGTCTGCCTTTCTGCACAGCAGCAGCCTGTTGGGCTCGGTATTTTTTTAGGATAGCTGCTTAATTCTTAATTCCTGATAGGCAGGTAGGTCTGGAAACATGTTCAGACTTAGCCACATGCTCTGTGCTGGCAGCGGAAAAAGGTTTGTCCTCAGAGCCCAGGAAAGGGTACTGCCACTGAGCGGGAGGAAAGGGAACAGCGGCTTCTTTGCTTCTGATGGTGTACATCTCGGTGAATAATAAATAAAATGAAAATCTCAGTCAGGAAGAATGTACTATCAACTCTCGCTCGGTGCCTGAAAATCCTTAAAAACAAATACAACATAGATCCCATAAAGAATGGATTGTTCATTCAACAAGTGCGGTGGCCTCTGCTATACATTTAATTCCACTTCCTCATTGTTTTTAGTCTCCATGAACCTCCCAGTCCTAGAAGACTTTTAGAAATGGAGAACTGACCTAGGTTAGACCCAAGAGAGCCCAGGCTTGCTGACTCGATACTGTTGGGCAAAAGGCTTTGCCAGAGTCTCAGTGAGCAAGTGGCATTCTCTTCACTCTGTGGCTCACGTGGCTTCAAACTCCAGGCAGAAGTTCAGTCTAATGACTGCGTCCTGGATGACACATGTCATGCTTGTATTTTTTCTGCTCTTCCAGAAGCCCAGCCTTCTATCAAAAGCCCAGAACACCTGCCAGCTTTATTGTAAAGAACCACCACGGAGCCTTGAACAGCAGCTGCAGGAACACAGGTGAGAGACGGCCTTGAGCCACAGAAGTCACTCTCTTTGTGGCAACGTAAGCCGGGTAGGTTGTCCTTTTCCCTACAATTTGCCTCTACCAGGAACACAGGTTTCAGTATGCTGGTGTGCATGTTCCACTGTCCGTGGAGTACGGGCCTGTCAGGGGACAGCAGCCCTAAATGTGCTTTGTTCTCCTTTTCTTCCAGTGTTTCCCCTTTGGGTTATGAATAGACCTAAGCTTTCAGAATCCCCGACCTAATGCGGTTTAAGTGGGTTATACTGGAGAGAAGGCGTCCATCCTCCCCTGCAGTAACTCGTGCCCTCAGGCCTCACTAGTAGAAGCATCTTGGCCAAGATAGAATTACCCTAATCCATCAACCTGCAGACACTCACAGAGGCCAAGGTGTCACCCCCGCTTCGAAACACTCCGGACGGGAAATCAGCCTCTCGCTCTGTAGGGAGGAGAAACGCAAGAGTCTTAGAGAAAAAGAACTCCTGTCCACTGGGGCACTGAGGGATCAGCCAGAACCGGGGAACAAAAAGTAAGATTGTGTTTAAGAAACCAAACACAGTTGGCTCCTACCCCTGTTCTTTTTTTTTTTTCCTTCCCTCCTGCCGTGGGAAGCGGAGAAGTGGGGGGACTGACGCTAATGACTGGTACTGGATTTACGTTAGAATTGGCATCACTGAAGAAGATTTAAAATTCTTTCTTTTGGTGTTGCCGACTTAGACTCCAGCAGAAGCGGCTCCTCCTGCAG